GATGTACCATCGTTGTAATTACATATAAAACTTCATCTATACTCTAATAAAAAGTTCCCCAGACCAAAGAGGTTACCCTAATACCAAAAAAAATAAATAAATAAAATAAAAATTTATACTCAATTATATTTATTATATACGAAATACATAAAAAATTTATACTTAATTATGTTTATTATATACGGAATTTTACAAAATTTATACTTAATTATATAAAAATATAAATCGTTAATAAAAGTTTCTATATAAAATTCTGTACCAAGTGATACAGAATTCACCTTCAATTCCTGATATTTATATATGGAATTTTATACTGAAAAATTTCAGTATATATTTTTTCATAGGGTTACTATTAAATTTATTTTTTCTAATAGGTTCTGACACCAACTTTAAAGAAATTTATTAATAACAATAGTTCTAATTAATAGATGATCGAGGTGTAGTATATGTTGGAATAAATGCAAACATTTTAATTTCTTCATATCCTTCCTCCCCTTCATCATTATAAATATCCTTTTCTTCATTGTTACCCTTACTACTATAATTACTATTATGATCTTTGTCCAAATTTTCATTAAATATCTCTTTAATAAGTCTCAAATTTTCTTCAATATGAATACTAAATGTATAAAGAAATTGAATTAATTTTATTAGTTTATTCACTGAGTTATTCAAAAAAGAAATTTCAACAATTCCTAATCTTCTTATTCGATACAATGGTGCAATTCTTCTATCAATAATAAACAATTCTAAAACAGTTTCTAAATTTACAATGAATGTATTAATTTTTTATTTTATTAATAAAAATAAAATATCAACTTACTAACCATGTGCATGTAATAAATAAACCTTGATTTTTTGTATTTTTACTAAATTATAATTATGTGATTTTGTATAATTATTAATTACAAAATCTAGAGCATCTTTTCTGCATTTTGATAATTTACTTCTGTCTTTTTTTATATATACTTGCACCTGAAAAGATCAATTAAATGGTCTATTTGAAATTTCTCCCAGCATGAGCTCTAAATCAAAATGTTCTCCGCTTTCATATACTCCATATATGAGGGTGAGTCAATAAAAAAGGAACAAATTTTTTAAGTAAAAGTATTCTTGACTTTAAGCTTAAATATCTTAGCAATTATCCTATCAAAGTTAATAAAATTTTTTTATTTTAATTCTATATAATCTCAAAATTAAAATAAAAAAATTTTTAGCAAAATTTGATTAAATAGTTGTTGAGATATTTTAATTTAAAAATTAAAAAAATTTTATCAAAAATGATTTGTCCCTTTTCTATTAACTCACCTCCATATATCGTTTTTTTAATCAGCTCTTTTTCATTATTTCTTTCTAAACTAGCTTTATTTATAATTGTATCTCTATATAAATAAAATTAAATTTATTAATAAAAGAATTAATATATTAATTAATTTAACATACTATCTAATACATATGTCTGATTCTTTAAAATCTACAATAAAATTTACAATTGGTTGTAAAACATAATGTGCACATGATAATTCATTAACTTTAATTGAATGCGATTGTAATATAGGCATTCTCCACAATCTTTTTCTTTACAATTAAATAGAAAACATAAGAGTTTATTTCATAAAAATTCATTAAATTTATAGATATAACTTACATTGAATTAATTAAATTTTGGGGTTTTCGGTACAACAGACAATCACCATCATCTGGTATTAAAGCATTACCAGCCCTAACTTGGTTTATAATAAATGTTTTTAGACTGTTGGGTAATTGCTTAGGGAATAAAGTTTCTTTAACATTATTCCAAAGCCTTATTTCTTGTAATGCCTTCTTAATTGGAGAGTTTGAAGTATCCAAAGCTTCAACGTCTAGAATTCTAGATAATAACAGATTATTCGAGCTTAATTTGATTTTTGAAAATGCATTACTAATTGTCTTTATGATCTTGCTTACATTCATAAATTTTAGTTAATTTGATTTAAACAAATTATTATTAATATTTAAATATAAATTAAATTACTAAAATTAATAAAATTTTAATTACATTTGTGATTCTTTTTTTTTGCTTCAATTAATTCCAACGGTTCGTATAATATACAGTCTAGAACTTCATACCAATCTAATCTTTTAGTACAAAATTCAATATATATACCATATTGAACATAAGTGTTATTATTTTGAGTAGTTTTGATAAGATCTATTAAAGTTAAAAGCTCTGACTATAAAAAAATTTATGAATTAGTATAAATATAAAAAGTAAGCAATAATTTATTTTTAGAATTATTTCTAAGTAAAGGGCATTTCTTGTATAGGGATTTAATTAAATCAAGTTCCATTATTTAAGAAATATTTAAATTATTTCTAAATCAAGTCCTACACACTAATATAAAATTTATGAAGACATAAGTAATAAACCGATTATTTAACCAAACAAATAATAAATTCAAGCTTCTAACTGTAGGAGATTTAAAATTAAATCAAGTCCTACATGTTATGAAGCTTGTATTTTATAGCTTAAACCATTATTTGCATAAATCAACACAATAATGTCTTCAATTATAACTAAAATATTCTTATGTGTAGGATTTAGATCATTGGCACTATGAAGTAGAAATAAACAGTCTACAGATCCTTATACAAGGGAATTATATATAAACCAAGTTCCAATAAATCAAGAGAAACTAATTCACCATTTAGATAGACTGCATAATTAAATTAGATGACAAATATAATGTTTATTATTTACCAAATAGTTATAACTTTTTATCTTTTTTTTTGACTTCTAGAAAACATGATGTTTAAATCTTGTTTTATTTGGCTTATATTTTTTTTAAAATCAATTTGGTTGGTAATCGCACTAAAGAGATAATAATGATATAAATTTACAGCTAATCTTTTTCTTTTAGCAAAATCGAAATAAGATTCCATTGTATTTAGATTTAAATTCGAATTACTAGTAATAAATAAACAATATGCATGATGTAGATCAGTATAAATATGATTGGCATTTTTTTGTTATGAAATCAAAATTTGGAGTCTCTTTTTGAAAATATAAACTAAACCTCTACTGAAATCTACTTATACTCTCTTATAAGCAACTCTAACCCCAAATTCTACTCTTTTACTAAAAAAAAGCTATAATAATACACTCTAAAAAATTCTAAAAATTTATATTAAATTAGATCCAAATTTTAATATCCGATTTCATAATCATTCATGATATTTTTTATTTACTGGATGATCATGAAATCTAGATCATCATGAAATTCCAATTTTTAAAATTTTTTGGTATTAGAGTTTATAGTAAAAAAGTATAATATAGAAATTTAAAAAGTATTGGATAATATATTGCAAATATCAAAATTCTCTTTAGATCATAAAACAACAAATTTTTTTATAGAAAAGATCCAATTAAAATGCAAACAACAAAATCGTGGCTATTTCTAGCTTAGACAAAAAAATCCTGGATATTATATAAATTAAAAAGCTAGACTTAATTAACCATACCTGAAATGTTTTTAAAGTATCTTTTAATTGATTTTTCATAAACTTTTTATTCTACTTAGTGTTAGTTTTTAACTTATTACTATAAAGCTAATACATTATAAGTTTATCTTTGAACACTAATTTCAACCCTTTATTTGCAAGTTTAATCTTGCAAAAGTTTAAAAACTTAATTAAAGAAATTTTATTGAGCTTCGTAAATTTTCGGGTAAAATATCCTTGATTAAGTTCTGACCTTCTTTTTTATTTAGCATTTTTATATTCTATGATAGGAAAAGGAGGAACTGAAAAAACGTATAAATTTTTTTTAAAAAATAATTACAGATCAAACATCAGTGATCGTCATGCGATCTTTATTAAATACAACCTATTTGGATCACTTTTGTATTGTACTCATCTTATTATATCTTATTATTTAATTTAAATATAAAAAAGGGTGTAGTGACTTAGCAAAGTGGTCTAGTTGTCACCCCACCAAGTAGCAGGTTGAGAGTTCGAATCCTACAAACGATAATTTTCGAATTTAATACTGTGTTACAGTGAATATCGTCCGCATCGGGGAAAAATGCCTGTAACTCGTTGGCGTACCAAGGATCGGCAATACCGAGACCTGGAAGATTTGGGGCATTGTGCAACTCTGGTATGCCGGGGAAGTACAAGGAATGCTAGCCGGTTAAATGCAGTGCAAACCTATGATAAGTCCAACAGATCGGCATATATGGGGATGATTATCGAATGATGAAAGTCTACTTGGGAAGTCCCGAATATGGTATTCATTGCCGGGTATGCCTAGGGGGGGCCTGGCTTTGAAGGAATACA